ACAAACTCATCTTGAATGGCCTGGAGATGAGTACATTTTCAGCAAACTTTTATTTTTGGGTGAACTATTCCTTTAATTATTAGTTTGTGTTTACCAATGTAGTTGACTAATGTTAACACATGAAACCTTTTTGTAAAGTGTTAACAAACCAACCAATCAACCACCAACATACACAGATCAAAATGAAACGGGAGTCGCATGTGCTGTCTTGTGCATGAACATCTAAAATATGAAATTTCCATCTTCCACAGCATTGAAGACACAGCCGAATATATCTGGGAATTCTGCCAGTCAGAAGATATTACCAAAATGCCTGTCGGAGCAGCCAGCCCAGTAAATGATCACCTACTCAGTCTTGATCAAACTCCTGCACTTCAAACATCAATGATAACCAATAAATTACTATAAAATAAGAAATACTGATAAATAGACTACAAATCACCAGAGAAAACAGTATTGTAATTGAATTGACCTAAAACAGTTTTTAATATCAACTGCGTGGGTGGCTCATTTGTAATATATGAGGAAAGCTTTATGACACCCTAATAATATTTTACGGTGAAGTGTTCAGCTGTCTCGACAAGCCAGACTAGATAAATTACTGGCAATTTCCAAGATGACGTTCTGAGATAAAGGATCCTTTGTGTTGTTGTAAGTGTCATTAAACTATCCATCAAAGAGCCAAACCACCCTTGCTGCCCGCAAACCATTTACAATTGCACTAAAGTGTTATCAGTTTGAAATGTCTGATGTTTTCTTTTATTTATTTATTTATTTTGTGTCATTTCTGTGTATTTTATCACCAGACAAAAAGGTTCGTTTTGACTTATGCTAATCAGGTTTACTTTATACTTTTTTCTGGAAAATCAAAAAAAGTCTTATTTTAGCACAAATCGGAATCATCTCTAATTGAAGTCATTTCTCCTCTGTCTGTAAATGACACATATATGGTGGGGCTGAAATTAGGGTGTATGCTGGCAGGTCTCTGGACAGGAAGATCTGTAAATATCACTGCCTGCTGAGTTTCCTACCGACTACTGCCAATACAGACTGGATGACAATTACCAGGTTCCAGAGAAAGACTCAACCAAGACTCTGGGCTGATGACCAAACGGGTGACATTTCTAACTCATGTACCCCTTTGGTGAGCAAACATTAGTGATCGATGGATCAAAACAGTTCTGATTTAAACAACACGGGGAAAATGTCAGTAACAATTAGCTGATTCGGTCACTGGCAGGGGAAGAAGTAACCTGCTGTTCAATGGCCTTTCCTGGGTGCCTGGTTCCACAATATTACCTTTCCCATAATAAAGAAGAGATAGCAACGTTTATGCCTCTGGAACGCCGCTAATGGCAAGCACACTACGGTCGAAACTGTCACATTTTCCACTTGCAAAGGTTTGAAGCAAAAAGAAGGTGAGAAAATTTCATCCAGCCTTTGAGGCTGAGAATGATGCATGCAAGCAAGGGCTCTGATCTTATTACTGTTGAATGATTGCCCCAAACCGAATTTAGAGGAATGAACAGTCGTACAATGGTGATTGGAGCTTAGAGAGAAATGGCTCACCCATGTGCAAAAGGTAACACAAAGAGCACACATCTAAAATACCCCATTCCTTTCCACATGGAGGACAAAACCTGCAGATTGGATTGGAGTGAGACAGTGACTGGTAACCCTGTCATGATTAGGATTAATCTTTCGACAAAAATAAGAAAATTAAACAATAAAAAGCACTTGCTTACAGCTGGAAAAAAATTATAAATATAATTTAAAAAGTCACATTATCCATTCAAGAGAAAAGAATGCTGTAAATCTAAAAGGACGTGTATGTCTGAGTAAATACAAGATACAATTACAGTTGGTTTACTTGTCTGGCTTTTGGTTTTTTTCTGACGTTTTTAATTTTTTATTTGTTTTTATTGTGTCTCTTTGAGGGGTCACTCTGTGGTGCTGCTACTGCAAAAAGAGTAACACAGCTGGGTCATATCTAGCTTTTTTTTTTGTTTGTTTATTGTTGATGTAGCAAACTATTTTAACATCTAAACCATTTGATGCATGACTAAAAGGTTACTATGTCTGTATGAAAGAAAGCTCGTTTGACAAGAAGTCGCTTTCAGCACCATGGACAGTGGCATGATGCTTAAATGAGTGCATTATTATAATAAAGGGATAATTCTGTCATCATTTACTCACCCACACGTTGCTCCAAACCTTTCTCAGTATTTTCTCAGTATTAAAAAAGACAGTATTTTTCAAATCTTGGTGCAAAAAATAAGATAAAAAAGACAGGTTTGGAATGACATAAGGGTGAGTAAATGATGCCAGAATGTTGACAATCATTTTGAGTGATTTTAAGTGGCTTCAAATTTATTCCTTTAGTGGAAAAAAAAAAGATTTTTCGAGAAATTGTTGACAAAAGTCAAAGGTAACTAAAACTGTTTGGTTACCAATATTCTTCCAAATAACTTTATTTATGTTCTACAGAAGAAAGTAATACAGATTTTAAACAACATGTGGGTCAGTAAAGGATGACATAATTTAAATGTTTAGGTGAACTAAAAATGCATAACGAAATTATTTGTAATTTCAGTGTTTTGTCAATCTAATCTTCAAGCTCAAGAAAAAATAAGGAGAAGATTGTAGTTGAAACATGTAATGGGAAATACATAGTAGAGTTACAAAAACATATTAAATAGGTAGGTGAAAACAACCCCCAGTTGTGTCATTCCAGGATATAACCATGTTATTGAAAATCATTTTGAAATGGCACTCCAATATTACATCCAGCAGAGTTTGAAATTGTTCCACTAAAAATTAAACAACACCTTATAGGCTGACCGCACTTTGACCTAGGTTATTTCAGATGATATCTCTCAGCACTAACCTCTGCAGCCAATAATATTTCTATATATTGTAGGGAATGCTCCCGATCACGTTCAGAGATATCAAAAACAAGGCTCAGCACTTGGTGGGATGAATAGGTTAATGAAGCCCCATGCTTAATTGTATCAATGTCATCTGGACCAATGCTGTTGACCCAATTGATCCATGGTCTCTGATCACATATCACTAAAAGCGGATTCAGAGTCACAGCAAGGGTGGCTGATTAGCAAGACAGACTCTCTGGCGCCCCACTAATTGGGAAAATTGTCTACAGATAGACACTCTCTCATTAAACTCCACACTTTCACTGAAGAGAATAGTCCCATAACTTGCATTATTTACATGCTATGACCTTTGGGGCAAAGGTATTTTTTTATTAAATAAAAGCAAGAAAGAAAAAAGAAAAAGAAAATAAAATTATTGCAAGGCAGAATTTTCGCTGAACGACTGATAATCCTAATATTTTGTGTTATTTTGGGGTACAGTGCTCAGGGTGTAAACATTTATATAAATAAAACCTGCACATTCAGTATTTTGTGGGAAATGTCAGAACGACACCAAACGAGTGACATTTGCTGACTGAAATGCTCTTCTTCTCTTGTGCAATTCGTGTCTACGACATCCTAGCGTTTAGAGATGACAGAGGTTAGAAATGATTTGTTTGCCTGTAAGCAGAAGTACAGGCCACTTAGGATTATAGCCAATAAAAGCAAGCAATGTTAATGAGAATGTGTTTATCACTTTAAGCCTTCTACTCCACACGAAGACATGTGGACATTAAAATCCTCCGCTCTGAATGAATCATAGGGATTTCACCTGTGCAAACCAAAGCCATTTTGAAACTGTCTCTCTCTCCAAGAGAAATGAGACCTGTCAACATTAATTTTCCTCTAGACAAACACATTGAAATACAGCTCTGTGCAGCAGATTAGGGAATGAGGATTAAGGGTCTGTTTGTCTTGATAATTGTCTTTAGGAGCTATTAAAACTAAAGATGTTACACCAGTCCAGTGCCTTTGACCTTATTTAACCTTCCAATAGAGGCTGAAATCTCCAAACAACTACAAAAACAGCGAGAGAGGAAAAGACGATTTCGACAAAAGTCTAAGATTACTAGTGAAAATACTATAGATATATGGATATAAACACTATTACATAACCAATCATGTGAACAAAAGTGCGTGTTATTTCGTTTTTTTTTTTTTTTTCAACATTCTTCTCAGCAACAGTAAAGCCAATCTACAAATTGAGGCTTAAAAATTAACAAATACTTTTTACATACATTAAAATGCAATTAGACTTGTGAATATTCAATACACATTTGCTGTGCAAACAGCATCCTCTTAACACACTGGTGTGAGAACCTCATAAATAATAATTTAAAGCAGAGAGTTGTTTACTTTAGAGTCTAGGAGAAGTAATTTCGTAAAACACTAAACAATTTAATATAATTAAAGAATCGATTAAGGATCCACTCCACGGTCGCAAGCAATTCGTTAAGACGCGGGGCAAATGAGAATTTCTGCAAAAAAAAAAAAAAATGCACTTAGTGTAATGGTACATGCAGCTGGGCAGTAGCTACTCCTTTAAAAAGACAAACGCACGAGGAATATGAAAATATGACATGACGTCAGGCGTCGTCTTTAAATATTGATCTCGAGCGCTTGACTGCCGCAAAGCCGCTCTTGAGAACTTTAGAAAGACACAAACATGAGCTGAGCGGTGACGGGGCGAGAGCTGCGCGGCTTCGCGTTGGGAACTTGGGAGCAAAATGTGCCTTTTAGACCTGGAATATGAGATTTCCAAAACGGATTACATTTAGTAGGATGCTGTGTCACATTACCAGGTCAAACAAAAGGATTACTTTAAATATTTTCAACACTATATCAGCACAGAATCAAGTCCGCTGCTGAAGAGGTGATTGAACGTACAAAAGTGACGCGATGCGACGCTGAAGCTAAAGGGCAGTGGAATAACGTTTGTTTTTGCTGTTGTGGAAACTTTATCTTGTTATTGATACTTGCTCTCCTCAGACTTTCTGTCATCTTATGTGGAAATATTAACTATAATTTTCCCAAATGAGATGTAAGTTCGCGCCGTCGGAGTTGATGGGGAGCACGAGACAGCCAGCAAACCTCACAGAGAAACTTGCGGAGAAAAACATGCCGTCTTTTCATCCATGGAGACATGGCATATAGGTTCCTGTCCAGCCGAATCGTGCCATCCTCAAACAGATTAAGCAGAAGATTTATTTTTATATTCACTATCTCTTTGTCTTTCATGTATCTATGCTACAGCATCCTCTTCTGCTCCGGTACAATCATGCCTAACCAGAGATTGGAGGATCACCGCTGCGTCCATCTGAAGAACATCGGGAGTAAAAAACTTTTACAGAAGTCACATTATTGCACTATATCAGCGAAAGCGAGAGTTATCTCGGACGAGACGAGGGCGGTGAGTCTCTTAAACCTTACTGGCAACCAAAGCAAACATTCAGCCTTTCAGAAAACACAAGATGTTGTAGATCACAAGCAGAGTAATAACAGTAATTCGCCAAAATACGGGAATAAGAAGTTGCCCAATGCACTTATAGTTGGCGTTAAGAAAGGAGGCACCAGGGCGGTGTTGGAATTCATCCGGATTCATCCAGATGTTCGAGCTCTTGGGACTGAACCACATTTCTTTGATAGAAACTATGACAAAGGATTGGACTGGTACAGGTAGGTTTCTTTTCTGGCATTTTGCATTAGTATTCTGGATTCGAAATTTCATTATAGGCAATATAAAATTCACCATTGTGTTATACGGAAAAACTTGTAACATTTTCTATATAAAATGTATACAATATCACACAAGTGCTATTGGTCTGAAAATTTGTAATCACAGTCATGCGGATATATTCAGTACCACAGCACAACTGTACGAATGATATTAATATTAATAATGAAGTTAACATTGAGTAACATGCATTTCAGACAAATACTGACCTGTTAGTTTGTATGTTTCTTTTCCAACAATGAAAATAGTTTCTAAAGAAGTCAAAGCTTAATCTTAATGTGTCATAAAGCAGCACATAGACTAAAATCCTAACAGGAATAGTTAATATGAGTGGAGTGGCACAAATTTAACTTTTGCTGCTCAAAAGGTTTTGTAATCACTCCACTCCAGCTCCACTTTGGGTCTTACATTGCATTACAAACGAACAAACAAAAACCAACTCAATTTCATTTTTCCTAAACCCACTCCTTGCTCCAGGCAAAAATCACATTGTCTCCTCCACTTTCACTCCAAACCACTCTCATACTCTGGTCTGGAATGAACACAGACAAAATGAGTGATACATTTAGCCAAATGTTTCAGTGCTGTTTTACTAAATGAGCATTATTGGAATGCAGATTGGCCAAACAAATTACTCAACAAAATATGATTTTTTTGTATTTCACGAAGAAACAGTGCTCAGTATAAACTATTTGTGTGGCAGTACTGCTGTTAAATTGTTGATATAAAAAAAATGAATTGAATTAAATCATATGAATTCAAGAGTCACTCAAACTCAAAGAAAACGTCAATTTTAGGTAAATCACGTTTTTAAAAGTGCACAAATCTTAAAAAAAGAACTGCCTATCGGGTCAAATGTCATAAAGGTAAGATCAGCAGGGTGCAAAAATTATGAAAACTGCCTTTTTGCGGTGGCAGTAAGACAGAAGCTGAAAACTTGAACTGCTGACAAGGAGATGTTAGCAGTAAGCCATACTGAGAGAGCAGGAATGATAGTGTTTTGGCCAGAGACCCAGAGCAGAGTGACACAGAGTGATTGCAGTGTTCAGTTTCAGGGGGAAAATATGCAGATAAAGGCCAATGGATCTCTTTCAAGAGTAAACCTTCCATAAACCCTGCCAGGGAAAGGCATGGATCATATTGATCAGCTGGCAGATTAAAATCAACTCCTTCCTTCCTTCTTCCCTTTCTACTGATGGGCTACCATTCAAACACCCATAGGGGAGCCGTTCGACTGTACGAGAAGTCTGTGTCGATTCTGTGTGGCGTGTAGTAGGGCCGTGAAGCAGGGGTCTCTGGGAGACAATATCATCCCTCCCTCTTCTAGCACAACGTCTGCCTGCAGCTCAGCTTCAGTAATTACACACACTCATCACATCTCAGCTCAGACAGGACAGAGAGCAAAAGAGAGGACTCCCTGTGGGCCATGTCCAAACGTGAGGGGGAAAATCCATAGAAGCCAACAGCACATAGCTGTGTGAGAGCAGCTCTACAGCCATTAGCAGGTGTTGCGGCTTGTTCAGTCTGCTTGTCATCTGGAAACCACAATAAAACACACTTCCCCTCTGTTTGCATCCGTTTAGGGGCAACTCCACTCACCCACAGACTACTGTGCTTAAATCAAGCGGATGTGTTTATGAGATGTGTGGATCGATGCTAGTCCCTTGTATTTGGACATGGGGAGAAAAAGATGAGGGGGAAAAAAGATGTAAGGAGAAAAAGGCCCAGGATAAAGGGGAGATGAAAAGGAGTTGTGAGGTGCAGTATGACTACTAAACAAACAAATGCCCACAAACAAGCTATTAATAGAGTATAGGTTATTTAGTCAACTACCGTTAGATGAACCCATTATACAGTAGTTATTAATGCCGGGAATAGTTTGTGTTTGGCTATGCTGGTAATTAAGTCATAAATCATAAGTTGCTTTGATATAGAATATTTTAAGTGCTCAAGACCAATGTAAGGTTTGTGCCACAGCTGCCCTAAACTAACTGTATTGGTGATTACCAAAATCATTTTTCATGTTTCTCTAGTGGTTAATCCATCAGTATGTGTAATGTACCAGATGCCCAATTACAGTCAATAACAACATAGACTGTGGAAAAATACATAAAAACAATGCCAGCAAGAATGCAAGCTGTTATCAAGGCCAAAGTAGGCCATACAAAATATTAAGTTTTTTGGTTATTATGTGTGAATAAAGACAATTTAGTTGTTTCAGTTTGTTATTTGCCTAATAAATGACAATAAAATATTTAGTTTTAAGCAAGTTTTTGACAGATTCCTAAAATATTTGTGTTTTCTCTTTATTATGGCAGGCTATTATGTCTTTATTATGCATCTACCATTAGCCTTTATTATGACTATATATTTATTAGCTGTAACTGGGCATCTGAATAAAAAAATAATAAAGTGCTTTACTATTTTTTCTGCTTTTCTTGTAAAACAGTACATTTGAAAATGTACAGAAACAACAATAATTGTATTTTAGCATTACAAATACTACTGTAACCACCAATGCTGTTAGTTTAGAGCAGCTGTGGCACAAACCTTACATCGGGTGGTATACGCATAAACACACACACACACTCACACACACTGTATACACACAATATATCATGCCTGTAAAATGTGCTCAAGCACCCATTAACACGAAAATACTCAGCTTCTCTTATTCTCACACTAAGAAACTCATCAATACTATTTGTGGACGGGTTAATTAAAATGCCACAGAGGCCAAGACACTGAAACAGTCCCCCTAATCCTCACTGAAAGCCATTTTATTTTAGCCACTGACATCTTGCAATAAGAGGACCAATAAGGGCTAGACAGGACAGAGAGCGAAAGAGAGGACTCCCTGTGGGCCATGTCCAAACGTGAGGGGGAAAATCCATAGAAGCCAACAGCACATAGCTGTGTGAGAGCAGCTCTACAGCCATTAGCAGGTGTTGCGGCTTGTTCAGTCTGCTTGTCATCTGGAAACCACAATAAAACACACTTCCCCTCTGTTTGCATCCGTTTAGGGGCAACTCCACTCACCCACAGACTACTGTGCTTAAATCAAGCGGATGTGTTTATGAGATGTGTGGATCGATGCTAGTCCCTTGTATTTGGACATGGGGAGAAAAAGATGAGGGGGAAAAAAGATGTAAGGAGAAAAAGGCCCAGGATAAAGGGGAGATGAAAAGGAGTTGTGAGGTGCAGTATGACTACTAAACAAACAAATGCCCACAAACAAGCTATTAATAGAGTATAGGTTATTTAGTCAACTACCGTTAGATGAACCCATTATACAGTAGTTATTAATGCCGGGAATAGTTTGTGTTTGGCTATGCTGGTAATTAAGTCATAAATCATAAGTTGCTTTGATATAGAATATTTTAAGTGCTCAAGACCAATGTAAGGTTTGTGCCACAGCTGCCCTAAACTAACTGTATTGGTGATTACCAAAATCATTTTTCATGTTTCTCTAGTGGTTAATCCATCAGTATGTGTAATGTACCAGATGCCCAATTACAGTCAATAACAACATAGACTGTGGAAAAATACATAAAAACAATGCCAGCAAGAATGCAAGCTGTTATCAAGGCCAAAGTAGGCCATACAAAATATTAAGTTTTTTGGTTATTATGTGTGAATAAAGACAATTTAGTTGTTTCAGTTTGTTATTTGCCTAATAAATGACAATAAAATATTTAGTTTTAAGCAAGTTTTTGACAGATTCCTAAAATATTTGTGTTTTCTCTTTATTATGGCAGGCTATTATGTCTTTATTATGCATCTACCATTAGCCTTTATTATGACTATATATTTATTAGCTGTAACTGGGCATCTGAATAAAAAAATAATAAAGTGCTTTACTATTTTTTCTGCTTTTCTTGTAAAACAGTACATTTGAAAATGTACAGAAACAACAATAATTGTATTTTAGCATTACAAATACTACTGTAACCACCAATGCTGTTAGTTTAGAGCAGCTGTGGCACAAACCTTACATCGGGTGGTATACGCATAAACACACACACACACTCACACACACTGTATACACACAATATATCATGCCTGTAAAATGTGCTCAAGCACCCATTAACACGAAAATACTCAGCTTCTCTTATTCTCACACTAAGAAACTCATCAATACTATTTGTGGACGGGTTAATTAAAATGCCACAGAGGCCAAGACACTGAAACAGTCCCCCTAATCCTCACTGAAAGCCATTTTATTTTAGCCACTGACATCTTGCAATAAGAGGACCAATAAGGGCTGCAATAAAGGGCAGAAGTAATGAGAAAGATGAATTGGCTGATTAAGTCAAAAGTTCCTTATAAAGCCCTTTAATAATGTGTTTTAGAGTCTTGTTTTTCATTTTACTTCAATCTTTGTCTTGGCAAGGCCCATTCTTTAAATTCACATAACGTTGAGATTACCCCAGGGTTTTCACTAGAAGTTGTCCTAGATGAAGCAAAAGCAACAAAGTCCTTGCTAGAAATAATAAGATCTCTGGCATAGCTAAAAAAAAAAAAGTGCAAGGTTTCTAGACAATTTCGTTAATTGTTGAGTTTTGTGTGCTCCACCACTCCTAAAAAGTGTAAGAGAGAGATGTCATACATATGCGGCGATGCTCATTACTTTATTTTTAGAATGGACAAGAATCCTTACGGCCTCATTTGTTGTAGGCGAACCTGTTTTCCCATTACGAGTTGACACTCGTGAGCCTGCTGATGTAGGTTTCATATTCCAGCAATTCATCAAATCAAACAAATATTCTGCACTACACACCATCTTGACTTAAAAGGGCATCTGAATTCTATTGATTTTACTATAGTTGGAAGTTCTTCAAGTAGATTCCCTAAGAAGTCCTCAGAATGTACAAGATGTCTTTTGCTAGAGCCAAGAAATTCCTCCTGGTCCTCCATTAATTGGCTCGAAGGGGAAAGGAGC